CCCCCGGCCTCGCCCCCGGCCTCCTTAAAGCTATACGCGGGTGGTTGAGTGGGAGTGCGGCAGGCCAGTGGAGTTGAAGCCGGTCGTGAAGGTGTTGTACGGGTGGAGGTTGGGCATGCCCACCAGGGAGTTGGGGATCATGGTGATGGTGTTGGGGGTCATGAGGGGGATGTCGTCCGGGGAGCGGCGCAGTGTGAGCGTGTAGTCGGGCAGCGAGGCCAGGCGCAGCGCCCCCTCGTTGCTGTTCCCCGCCTCGCACTCGTGGTGTGTCTGGTTCATCTGCAGYGACATGATCTCCTCCTCGGGCGCGTGGTGGCCGATGTCGTTGGCGGTGGTCTGCCGCTGCGGGCTGGGCTGCCCGTGGCCCGAGTCCTGCCGCCGCTTGTCCTTGCGGTAGTAGAGCGCAGCGAAAGCCAGCACGTTGAGGAAGAGCAGCGAGGCCCCCACTGCGATGGTGACACTGAGCTCCGTGGAATAATCCCGCGGGTTCTCCACGACAAGAGGCCCGGACTCGTCTTCGTCACTCCACGTGTCCTTATCCTCGTTGTTGTAGGCCGGAGACATGGGGGGCCGCTTGGTGTTGAAGGGCCAGCTCTTCCCGGTGGGCCTCTTGGTGGACAAGCTGTTCTGCGTAGTCTCTGGCGGTGGCACTTTGGTGGTGGTGGAGGTGTAGTGAAAGATCTCGTTAAGGTTGTACAGGTGGGGCACTAAGTGTTTCCAGAAAGCCACTTTGGTGGCCCGGTAGTGGTCTCGCACGCGCGGCTTTAGGCCGATGTGCAGATACAGCTGGTCCTGGGGGTTGTACTTGGACCAGGCCACCTCCTCGAAGCGGTTGGCCTTGGTGTGGATGAACTTGGTGTCCTGGGGAACTGGTTTGTTGGGATCCCTGCAGTCGAGAAGGGGATTAAGCAAACAGAGAGCCAAATGAGATTTTGACGGTACATTTAATTATTCATGCTTTGACATTCATTTAGGGCCAGGAGGCACATGCAGCTAATAAGAAAACACTCCACTTGAATCACAGCTTGAATTTAGACCTGAAAGGGTTTTTAACGTGTGGAACAAACAACAAAAGCATAAATACACAACTGTAGTTAAAAATTAAAGGCCTTGCGTTCCCTGAAGGAGCACATTTTACCCCCCAGCTTTTTATGCTGGAGTTTAAACTGATGGCCTCAACACACTCCCTCTGAACTGCCAAAATTGTGTCTTATTGTCAAAGTGTTATAACAAAAATTGCATCATATTCTTCGCAGCTTTGTCTCTTTCACCCCTTCTTGTTACAACCTGTCGGGAAATCTTTACACTCCCCTCCGCATGAGGACTTATTGTGTGATTGGTCATGTTTGTTTTTGCTGAAAGTGCTTGGACGCTGCATTTTGTGTCAACTACTTGCTTCAAAAAAGAATAATAAAAAAAAAACTGCTCGCTTTCAGATTTCAAGCGTTGTACCCGAAAGCAGACATTTATAAAGCTAGTCAAATGGCCAAAAAACAAGAAAAGATACATTGTGCATGAAGAAAAGTGTAGAGCTTTAACTGAACAGATTTCTGGACAGTGACGTGTACCACAGTGGGAGGGGTTTCCCAGGAGCTCAGAGCAGTGTGCCTCAGGGGCTATGAAAGGTGTTGTGTGTCACCTGTTTGGCTYCGTATGGACGCTTAAGACCATCTTACATTAAGAAAAGACAAAGTTATAGATGTTTTGGTCAAACCTTGACGTTATACTATAATCTCATGTAACATAATGACATTTGTTAGCACTTAAAGTACAGACTCTCAGCTACGACATCAAGTTGCTAAGTTTGATTAGCAGTGGGCATCTTGAATTCATTCCAATTTCCAAATGACAATCAGTTTTTAGACATACATCCAGTCATTACTTTCTAAGATCATCTCATGAACCACTGGATGATAAAATTCATCCAGTGGTTCATGAGATGTTTTACTTACAGACCAACAAAGTTTAATCACTCCAAAGTTCAACTCATTAACTGTAAATTTGGGTGGCGTTGTGGTCATTTTTGTGTTCGGTAAGGTCAGTTAGCAATGGAAGCCATCTTTAATTGATAGGACTCCAAACTATGACCAGTTAAAAATGTGCGGTCAATGACAGCTTTTGAGTTTCATTAAAATCTGCCCATAATGGATGGATGGATAGATGAAATATTTTGCTAACAGACAAACACACATGACCAAAGACGTTTGAGCCCTCCAGAGGTGTACTTGTTGTCTGACACAGATTCCTCATATTTTTTGTAATTTTCCCACGCCCTCCACTCCTCCTGCTCTTCCTCTTTGTGGGCATTGTTCTCCCTGTACAGCTGATCTCTCATCTCCCCTCTTCCCAGATGTTGATCTTTATGTCAGCTCTGCCGCAAAACCCGGAACGAGGCTTTTAGAATAAACATTCATGAATAAGTCAGCAGGCTTTAGGGCTCGCGTCAGGAGGTATTTTGCTGTGGATAATCCAACGCCGGTGAAAGCCACTCACCTCCCCACCCCCACTCCTGGCTAATTGCTCGGGGAAGCCATCACAGCGTACACCGGCATCCCTTGCACTGATGTAAAGTGGACCATATTAATCAAGACAGGATGTTTCTGGGAATGAGACTGAGGATAAAAATGTACCCCCCCCCACCCCACCGCTGCATGCAGTACCAAATTTAACCTACAGAGGTCACTATTCCACTTCTCCCCTTTTATCAAACACGATGCGTCAAAAAGCCAAGCTTTTCAATTACAGTGGAGCTATTGATTTATTGAGCGAATTAACATATAGCAATCTCCAACCATCACACAGCTTTGGTTTGTTGTTGTATACGACGTCGGGATTGGGAGCTCTGAGGCGCCCGCTCTTGCTAAATTACTTTCTGTGAATTCTAGCTTGGCGGCCTTGAAAACACAATGTCAGAAGAGCGAAGAGTGGGAGAAACAAAATAAAAAATAAATTAAAAAATCAGCTATTTTTCTAAATATGTTATAACATATTTCTTTGTGGTTCTGAATGCAATGTTGATAGCAAGCAAAGTTCAAATTTAGTTGGGGATTTTGGGAAATTGCAACTTCTTTTTTCCCCTCATAGACCTTAGTTAAAAACAGGTGGTGATTTTTTTTTTTTTTTTTTTTTTTTTTGGCAGAGACTGAAAACCCTCCAAACATAGCTAAGAGAATTAAAAGACATGCCAGAAGAGTTCACCCTCCGTGCCTCTCTCCTGTTAGTTTCTCTGCTGTCAATTTTTATTTTTCAGGTCAGTGCTTCTGGGAGAAGGAGGGGGTGGGGTGGAGGCAAAGCAAATTGAGATGGCTGGAGCTGAATCCCCCAACCTGGGCTGGTGTCAGTGGAGTAGCCCCCCGTAAATAACCTCTTTTATTAGGCCTGTAATGATCCCCGATGAATATTGACATCCTGACTATGATGACTTTGTAGCTGAATATCAGTAATTAAGTTTCAAAGGAGCGGGCGATGGAGGTAAGGTCATATTGATCTCCCCCAGCGCAACATGCCAGGGAACAGGATGTCAGCGGAGCAGTCTGAGACGTGCGGTTGTCTGCAGCTGGCGTGCCTCATGAATTCTTACTGCGGCGCCGTGCGTGCCATCGCACGGGCACGCAGGTAAATTTCTCCCCTTCCTCTAGATTTCAAACGCAAATGGCAGTAATGGAGGTCAGAGCTGTCTCCGATAATAAGAATTCTGTTTTTTCCACAACGCTGCAAACGCTCTCTTTTTCGAGAGGGTCAATTAGCTGAGTTGTGATGGAACAAAAACAGGAAAAAAAAATCACAAAGGTGCTTGGAAAGGTCTGGCAAAACCCATCAATGTGCGTGTGTGTGCGTGTGTGTGTGTGTGTGTGTGTGTGTGTGTGTGTGTGTGTGTGTACATGGAGTGAAGGCGCAGTGGTGCAGTGGAGTTAGAAAAAGCTCCTCGGTGGCTGGCTGACTGGTTCAGTGCAAGTGAAGATGAATAATTTAGGGAACACAAAGAAATCAATGTGGCATCTTTAGTTAATTTGATTTGCCGCATTAGAGAACAACTGGCTGCCTTATCTAATTACACACACATATGCTTGGGTAATTGTTGCAAACTCAATAGTAAACAGGGTACATTCTTTTGAATGGTTCCCCTCGTTGCTGCTAAACTTTGGGCTACTTTGGAAGTTTCAGAAGTTCTGCTGAGCTGAGCTGCGGAGGAGCTTCAGGTTTCGGCTCTGGTTCACTCAGGGGTTGTGAGACTTGTCTGTCGGGTCGAGTAGTCAGGTTGTTTGACCAAACGCCACCATGTAAGTAATCTTATTCATTTCTCCTTGGCAAAACAATCCTGTTTTCTGCAGGCATCAATCTGTACGTAGCATATGCAGAAATATTTGCTGCATATTTTCTCAAGAAATACACACAGATAAGCCATGCAATTAAAAACAAATGCTGCAATCTTCTGAATGATTTTGCCATGAATGTGGAGTTTTTAATGGATGTTTTTTTTTATGTATTCTGATGCAAAAGACCCTGAAACTTTCGGATCCTGAGGGTTGTGGGACTAAACTGCTGAGTCAGCACTTTGTTTTTCTTTTATTCAGTTCCCACATGATGTCTCGGAGTATTTATCCCCTGCTGCTGAAAGGCAAAGTTGGAGCGATAGTGTTTATACCCGTGTCTGTGTGCACGCATTTGTGTAGTAGCAAAATACGTGTCTCGTACGAGGCAGGGTAAATTTGAAGAAAACTTGGAGCAATAACCACTGGATGTACATCTACAGCTGATGAACTCTTGTAATTAACATGATTCAAGATGGCTGCCACAGCTGACTGAGTTTAGGAAACACTCAAATAGSTGTAATACAATCAGTTTCATAGATACTGAGCAAATCTTCAGTGTGGTAGTAGCTGAGAGTCATTCCCAGCACATATACTGAGAACTAACAATTTACACAAGAAGTTTGTTTAAAGTTCTGTCATTAAAGATTTGAAGCCAATTTAGATTGTTATAAAAATATGAAACTTTCAGGAAATAATCACTAAATAAATGTCTACTACTCAACAACTTTTGAAGCTTATTTGAATGGCAACAAACCAGTCAGTTTAATAGATTAAAAAAGCAGCTCTTTTGAAAACTACAAGAATGTATAAGTGTACGAGTGGCAGTAAACGGGTTGTAATGGCAACCAATTTAGGAAGAGATGGGTAGCCATGGCTAAGAAAGGAGGAAAGGAAAACCGGACAGATAAACTCATGTTTCAGGTGAAATGGGAGGTAGACTATCTTTACACAGAATTTTCAGTCAAACCTTTGTGTTTATTCTGCTTAGACGCTGCCCGCTATGAAGATTTTTAATATGTCACCACTACGACATGTTGCACAAAGCTAAATATGAGAAGTTTACTGAAGTCACAAGTACATAAACAACTTTTTACCAGAACCATTATGTCGTAGCGCTTCAACTCGCTATTTTCTTTGCGTCAAACATTTTGTATTCATATTTATTAAATAACTGTTATACATGAATTTGAGCATAAAATATGTTAAGTTACTGCACTCTATGTTGGTTTAATAAACATATATAGACACTAACATTTTAAAAATGGCAATTTTATTACATTTTGTTAAGTGTGCAGCACTACATGACCATCAGGTAGTGTCAAAAAAATAAATAAAAATGTGTCCCCTTCCGTCATAAAGGTTGTCCACGCCTGTGGAAAATCTTTGCTCCAAACTTTGGCATTAACTGTTAAATTACCTCATGAATCATTGGACAGATTTTAACAACTGCTACATTTTTGGAGTCAGCCCAATTGCGGATGGCCACCACAGCCGACCATTTTTGCCAAAACAAAAATGGCCACAACTCGGTCAATTTGTCAAGCTAAAATTGGATGGGATAGTAGCGGAGAGC